GCGGGCTCGCGAGGGGGGCCAGGAGCGGGACTCGGTGCGTGAGAGCCTCTGGCATGGCTCCGAAGTACCCCCCCTTAAGATCTGAGCTGCGATCGTGATATGTGCTACCCTTGTCGGGGCCCCTTTCATAGCACCTGCAATCGCTCCACATCCTACGTGCCACGAGGGCGCTGTAGCAGGGACCCCGGGCGCAGACAGTGAAGGAACACACACGATGTAAATATGACTGGTTGGGGCGATGTTTGGTAAATGCTCCCCCGCAACGCTACACCATACGAAAATATCGTACCCAACTGTCATGCGAGACTGGGCTGTCGCACGTAAGACTGATATTCCGTGAGAGCGCACTCGAGCAGATCTTGGAGACTCGCTCGTAAAACCTGCGCGCGTGCATGCAACTTCAGGAGCCAGTACCCGCATGCTTGCGTGCAGACCTTCGTTCGAAAGATCCTAGCGTAGCTGGCCTGGGGCTGGTACCCGACATCAATGAAGGGAACGCGCTTCCCGTATGCGTACTCCTTGCTCCAAGCTCCCGCAAGAACGCCGTTCGTGAATACGATGTCAGGCTTGAACTCCGACAAGTTCTCCTAACGGAATGGTAACAGAAAGAAGCTGGTGGCCATGGTCAAGTTCCAGCACACAAGCTGAACCCTAAATGACGCGACGGCTTGCGTACAGCCATCGTCCTACCATTAGGAACGCTAAATATGGAACGAAAGGGCTTTTCTGGCCATGGCGAGCCTCGGCCACGAACAAGTTCTCCGTCCTGGACATACACCCCGTGGGAAAAATATAATGATACCGGAGAAAAGCCTCAATCATAATTGTGCTAGGGCTATAGGCCTACGGGGCTATAGGGCTATAGGGCTATAAGGCTATGGGGCTATAGGGCTATAGGGCTGTAGGGCTACAAGGCTGTAAGGTTGTAGGGCTATAGGGCTATAGGGCCATGCGGCTATGAGGCTGTAGGGCTCTGGGGTAATGAGGGCGATAGGACTATAGGGCTATAGGGCTGTATATATATAGCTGTAAAACTACAATGCTACCGGGCACCTGGGCACCCGGACAACCGGCCAGGCCACCTAAATCGGCGGCCCAACTCACCTAACCATATGAATCCGCTAGGACCCCTACAGAGGCAAGCTCTGATTGGATAACTGTTGTTTCAATTTCTGGGTCCCCCCTTCACCCCAGACCCCGATCTCAGTGTTGAGTCGGCCACGGCGACGGCGGAAAAAAAAACCGATCGCGCGGCCCTCCTGACAAACATCGAGATTGAGGGGAGCGGGGCGACGGACCGTGGTCGAGAGATACATTTACTTTTCAAGGGTGGTGTAGCAAAACGCGCCGGAAACCAGAGCCCCTTCTGGGCCCCAACTGGTCCTCAGGTCAACGTGTTGACTGTATTCCAGCTTGGCGGACACTGGAGGCAGCGGCGAGCATCCTCCCCCTGTTGCGTCGGCACGCGTCAAATATTCAGCACCGCTGCCGCAGAGGGGGGCACACGAAGAGACTGGGGCCCAGTGCGAGCACACTACAAGTCCAAACATCCAGCCGAGGCCGCCAAAATGTCGGGCACTGACCCCCGTCTCAAGGCTCCCGAAGATGGAATCTGCGATGAATCCCCGCCATTCGCGCGCTATAGCACGTCGCAGCCGTGCACCGAAGCCTCCTCCTCCTCCTCCTCCTCCTCCTCCTCCTCCTCCTCCTCCCCCTCCCCCTCCTCCTCCTCCTCCTCCCCCTCCTCCTCCTCCTCCTCCTCCCCACTCGCCCTTCCTCCCCCTCCTCCTCCTCCTCCTCCTCCTCCCTCCTCCTCCCCCCTCCTCCTCCTCCTCTACCTGCCTCTCCTCGCGTCTCCTCATCGCCCTCGCTCCTCCTCTCCTCCTCCTCCTCCTCCTCCTCCTCCTCCCCCTCCCCCTCCTCCTCCTCCTCTCCCTCCTCCTTCGCCTCCTCCCTCCTCCTCCTCTCCTCCTCCGCCTTACTCCTCCTCCTCCTCCTCGGGAGTGCTTGGAGTCCCTGCCAGCAGCGCCCTGGCTCGTGAAACGCTCTCTTGCTCGCGCCTCGCATCGGGCGGAGGGGGGGAGGAGGGGCGGCGAGGGGGGGGGAGGGGATAGGAGGAGGAGGAGAGAGGAGGAGAGGAGGCGATGAGAGGAGGAGGAGGAAGGAGAGGAAGAGGCGGAGGAGGAGGAGGAGAGAGGAGGAGGGAGGAGGGAGGAGGGAGGAGGGAGGAGGGAGAGAGGAGGAGGAGGTAGCGAGGCGTAGAGAGGAGGAGAGGAGGGAGGATGGAGAAGGAGGAGGGAGGAGGGAGGGGGAGGCGGAGGAGTGGATGAGGAGGAGAGGAGGAGGAGGAGGAGGAGGAGGAGGAGGAGGAGGAGGAGGAGGAGGAGGAGGGGAGGCCGCTGCCTCGTGCGACGGTCTGCGGCCGTGCGTCCCAATTGGGGAGGCTCAACCTGCTCGAGACAAACGCCACAAACAGCCACGATCTGCTTCATGCTTATGT